TGACAATAAAATCATAATCACCTACTTTTAAACAGGAAAATCAATAAAAGGAATAACAGTTAATTCAAATTTTATTTAAAATGCAACCCGCATATATTCCTATGCAAATAAACACGCACGAGAATTTAATGATAAATAAATGTCTATTGCAATAAACTTAAAAGAAATAAAATTTTGTTCTAAAATTTTAGATTTTTGTCCAGCGGAACGAGGCACAACCACATCATCGAACCACCACGCTCCAACACGACCCGATCTAACCTGTGAGGTGTAGGGAAGAAGGTGAGTACATGGGAATAATCAGTATGATATAAAATTTAATGGTACGATCCAGAATAATAATTTTAAACATGTGTCAGAATGTAATGGCGTCTCATATCTTTAAATCCGGTAAGAGCTCATTTCATATCATATCATTTCATTGTATCGGAATGACCATATCATTCACATCATATCATTTCATATCATAATTTTAACTTTCATGAGTACAAAAATTCATATATATATTGTGTCGTTCCGATCATGTGAAAATGATTTTATATACATAGGCAATTTGTGTATTGAGAGGATATGTGTGAGTGAAATGTGGTTATGGATGAGTATTGGGAACTGAAATTTTGATTAAGTCTTGTCATTCAAAAATCAAAATCAGCACATTTCCCTACATGTGTGTCATTCCCATTTAATTCAAAGTTCTAGTTGAGAAAAAAAATGCACAAAGATAAAAACAAAGTTGGTTTTTAACCACTAGTCGCATGGCTTCCCATAACTCTCTCTCTCTCTCTCTCTCTCACTTCTTTTCTCTTACACACACACACACATCAACAACCTACCAAGAATCTTCCTCCATTCACGTGACTTGAGGGAAAATTTAAATTCATTAAATAATCAATTAAATATAATTTCAACCTATATCTTTCAACCTCGATAACTTGGGCCCGCTAATCCAAATTAACCTTTTCTCCAGCCTAACATGCATGATTAATTACGATTTATCTAATGAACCCAATATTTATATACTTATTATCGCTCCGTTAATATCTACATTTTATCTCAAATAAAATTGAAATTTACTTTACATATACTTTAGTTCTTAAACTTTCAAAACATTTAAAATATAGTATACAAAAATTAAATTTCATTCTACCAAAATTTTCGGGACATTATAATTGATCCTAAGGAAACCTTTTACAGAGTTTAGTGACCCCGTGAAAACCTTTTGCAAAGTTTAGTGTTGACTTGGATAATTTTTAAAGTTCAGTGATCCCGTGAAATTTTTTTGCAAAGTTCAGTGACGATTTGGGTTATTAATTCAAAATTACTTGTTAATTTATGAATTGTGAATATGTTACGTGCTTAGATAGATGCTTCTTCTTGTAAAACATAATACATTTGTGCACAAGAATTAAGTTTGACATTTTGAAGTAATATGAGTTGATTCATTTGCCTGATTGGTTGAAATAGAAGAAATTAGATGCTAAAACCAAAAAGTAAAAGTATAAAAATTACTATGTTATCATTCTTAGACCAAATTTAGCATTGTTGGAGGGTGATTTAACTGTTGGAAAAATATAAGGATATTAAATGAAGATTTCATGTTTTTAAATTCTTGTGTGGATTGTCTAAAATCAATATGATGAACTTAGGTGAATATCTTAAGATAGAGGTTCTTTTTTCTTGAATGATTGATTAATGAGGGGCATTGCACTAATTATGATAGCCTCATTGTAAAACATCTCTTCATAGCCTTTATATCTCGAGTAATAAAGTCTACAAGGGTATCTAAAAACTTGGTGTTCTATAACCATTTGACTTGGGAGTTATCGATCGAGAGCTTGCTACAAGGGCTATTTAGAAAGCTTACTGAAGATAAATCCACATATGAAAAAAAAGAAGCAGCAAATCTGCAAAAGCAAGTGCATGAAACAAAGTTGGTTTTTAACCACTAGTCACATGGCTTCCCATAACTCTCTCTCTCTCTCTTTCTCTTATATACATCCATAATCTACCAATAATCTTCCTCCTTTCGCGTGACTTGAGGGAAAATTTAAATTCATTAAATTGTCAATCAAATATAATTTAAAGCTATATATATCAACCTCGATAACTTGGGCTCCGCAAATCCGAATTAACTTTTTCTCGAGCTTAACATGCATGATTAATTACGATCTATCTAACGAGTCCAATATTCATATACTTATTATCGCTCCGTTAATATCTACATTTTCTCCCAAATAAAATTGAAATTTACTTTACATATACTTTAGTCTCTAAACTTTCAAAACATTTAAATAATAGCATACAAAAATTAAATTCCATTCTACCAAAATTTTCAGGATATTATAACCTCCCCTCCTTAAAATATTTTCGTCATCGAAAATTTACTTTGGCTAATCGAAGAGCTATGGATACTTGGTTCTCAGCTCTTCTTCCTTCTCCCATGTTGACTTTTCTCGTCCATGATTTAGCCATTACACTATGACTAGGGAAACTTCTTTGTTTCTGAGTTGATGTACTTTTCTATCCAGAATCATTGTTAGGATTTCTTCATATGATAGATCTTTTTGTACCTCTAAGGCTTGATAACTTACCACGTGATTAGGATCATGGACATATTTTCTGAGCATCGAAACATGGAACATATTATGCACTACTGCAAGTTCAGGTGGTAAGGTAAGTCGGTATGCCACAACAACAATCCTTTCAAGGATCTCAAAAGGTCCAATAAATCGTGGTCTCAACTTTCCCTTCTTACCAAATCTCAATACACTCTTCATGGGTGCTGCTTTAAGAAAAACTTTGTCGCCTACACTAAATTTCAAATCCTTTCTTCTACCATCTGCATAACTTTTTTGTCGGTCTTGTGCTGTCTTTATTCTGGCTCTAATCTTGTCAACTGCCTCAACTGTTCGTTCAATGATTTCAGGACCCAAAATTCTATTTTCTCCGACCTCATCCCAATGGATAGGAGATCTGTACTTCCTACCATAAAGAGCTTCATATGGGGCCATACCTATAGTGGCCTTGAAACTATTATTGTAAGCAAAACTCCACTAAAGGCAGGTATGTCTCCCAACTTCCTCCAAGATCCAAAACACATGTTCTTAACATATCTTCCAGAGTTTGAATGGTTCTTTTTAATTGTCCATCCGTCTGAGGATGATAAGTAGTTCTAAACTTTAGTTTCGTCCTCATGGCTGTCTGCAAACTTTTCTAAAATTTATATGTGAGGCTCAGGTCTTTATCTGAAACAATGGTGACTGGAACTCCATGCAATCTGACTATTTCTTTGATGTATAACTATGCTAGCTGTTCTATGTTGAAGCTTACTTTGATTGGTAGAAAATGGGTTGACTTCGTCGGACGATCTACCACTACCCAAATGGCATTGTGACCTTTTACTGACCTCAGGAGGCTTACCACAAAGTCCATTGTTATGCGTTCCCACTTCCATTCTGGAATATCCAATGATTTCAGTAGTCCTGATGACCTTTGATGTTCTGTCTTGACCTGTTGACACATAATACATTTTTCAATGAATAGACCAATTCCTCTCTTCATGTTTCTCCACCAAAATGTATCTTGAAGATCTTGATACATTTTCGTACGACTTGGATGTGCCGAGTATGGGGTAGAGTGAGTCTCTTCCAATATCTCCTTTTTTATACTTTCATCCTTAGGTACACATTACCTTCCTTTGAAAGTCAGTGCATTATCTGCATATATTTCAAACCCTATACGTTTGTTTGAACCAATCTCGGTCTTTAACTTCTGTAGAAACGGATCCTTATCTAGCGATTCCTTAATTTGATCTCGAAGTGTAGGTTGAATCATGAATGCTTTAAACATCGCTGTAGTCTGAGTTGGTGGTGTGATAACTTCCAATCTTAGTTTCTCAAAGTCCCTTATCAAGTATTCTTACAACGTGGGTAGAACTGCTAACTGTGATCATGTCTTTTGGCTTATGACATCTGCAACTAAGTTAGCCTTACCCGGATGTTAATGAATTGTTCGGTCATAATCTTTCACTAATTCCAACCATCTTCTCTGTCTCATATTTAGTTTTTTCTGTGTGAAGAAGTATTTAAAACTCTTGTAGTCTGTATAAATTTAGCACTTCCCACCATAGAGATAATGACGCCACATCTTTAAGGCGTGAACTACTGCTGCAAGTTCCAAGTCATGCGTTGGATGGTTTTGTTCATACTGCTTCAATTGTCTTGAAGCATAAGCAAAAATTTTTTTATGCTGCATAAGTACACAACCCAAACCCTACTTGGAGGCATCGCTGTAAATCACAAATCCCTCTGAACCTTCAGGTATCGTTAATACAGGAGCTGAAACTAGTCTCTGCTTGAGTTCTTGAAAACATTTTTCACATTTTTTCCGTCTACTGAAACTTCACACCCTTTCTTGTCAGCTGAGTCATTGGCCTTGTCATTCTTGAGAAGCCTTCAATGAATCTTCTATAATAACCAACCAATCCCAATACATTGCGGAGTTCATCCACACTGCTCGGCCCTGGCCACTTCGTTACTGCTTTCACTTTAGCAAAGTCTACTTCGATTCTTTGGGCGGTAACCACGTGACCAAGGAAACCTAAGTGATCAAACCAAAATTCACACTTCTTGAACCTGGCATATAATTTCTCATTCCTCAAAGTTTCAACTACTACTTGGAGTTATTCCTCATGTTGTTTCTTGGCTTTGAAGTACACGAGTATCTCATCAATAAATACTATGACAAATTGATCTAAGTATTGATGAAACACTCTATTCATGAGATCCATAAATACAGCTGGAGCATTGGTCAAACCAAAAGGCATGACAGTGAATTCATAATGCCCATAACGAGTCCTAAAAGCAGTCTTCGGTAAGCTTGCCCTGATTTTCATACCCTGATCTCAAGTCAATCTTTGAAAATACTGTAGCACCCCTTAACTAGTCAAATAAATCTTTGATTCTTGGCAGCGGGTATTTGTTTTTGATGGTCAAATAGTTTCATTCCCGGTAGTCAATGTACATCCTCATACTTTCATCATTCTTCTTCACAAAAAGTATAGGAGCGCCCCAAGGAGATACACTTGGTCGAATGAAGCCTTTCTCCAGCAACTCTTCTAATTGCAACTTCAATTCTTGAATTTCCTTTAGCACCATTCGGTACAGGGCCTTGGATACTGGTGCTGCTCCAGGAACAAAATCAATTGTAAATTCCACTTGTCTATCTCGTGGAATACCTAGTAATTCTTCTGGAAATATGTCTGCAAAGTTTCGAATGGCGTTAATATTGTTAACAGTAGTTTCTATATGTTGGGGACTGGTGATATTAACTAGAAATCCTTGACATGACTCCTTTCTCAACATCTTTTCCACTTGAATAGCCGATACTAAACGAGGCGAAGACTTGAACTTTGCTCCAAAGAAATGAAATTCTTCCTCTCTTAGTCTGTGAAACAATATTTCTTTCTCGTGACATCGAATGGTTTCATGAGTAAGTCCCAACCAATCCATGCCTAAAATAACATCAAAATCTTTCATCTCCAAAAGGTATAAGTCCGCTTGTAATATTTTCTCAGCAATCTCTAACTTCATAGCCTTAGTCATCTGATTTTCACAAAGAGTTCTTCCTGAAGGGATGCTAACCTCTAATTCATAATTCATTTTCACACATGTAAAGTTTGACCTAGCGACGAAGGATACAGAGATAAAAGAACTTGTAGCCCCAGAGTCAAAAAGTACGTAAGCAGGTACATAAGATAATAACAGAATACCTATTTTCGTAAATATAATGTTAGACTAGCAACCCAGTGACATAGATAAAATAATGTATAGTCCTAGGTAAAAGAACATAAGCATGTATGTTGAAAATAATAATAGTAAAATACCTGCTATCACATTCGGATCCTGCTTCGCCTCATGGTGATTTAATACAAAAACCCAGGCCTTTCCTTTCCTATTCTTGTCCTGATCATCATCCTTCTTTTGTGGAGGCCCTGTACAGCTGAGAGCAATGTGTCCTGGCTTACCACACCGGAAACACATGTTCTTTCCAAGTAAACATTCACCCCTGTGGAGTTTATTACACTTAGGACATGGTGTAATACTCCCACTCGTCCCACCAATATGAACTCCTGTGCTTGGCCTTTTATTATGCCAGTTACGTCTGTTCTTGTTCTAATCACTCCACTTTCTTTTTCCCAAAGACTTCTTGCTCTACTGGGCATACTGTCCAAATGTGGCCCTCTGATATGAAATAGCATGAGCCCTCTCCAACATTTCACGATATGAGGTAAAACGATGGGACATAATGATCATGCCAATTTCTGGGCGCAATCCATTTTCGAACCTCCTAATCTTCTTAACTTCAATATCCACCAAATGTGGGGCATATCTTGAGATCTGCTCAAACTGCCTCTCATAATCAGTAAGCAACATGTCCCACTGTCTGAGTCGCAGAAACTCTAATTCCTTGAAGTCTCTCAAAGCTTGTGGAAAATATTTTGCCATCGCTTCATCCTTAAACTGCTCCCAAGTCAAGTTACGTTGCTGTTCTTCCGTCGTAGTGTATGAGACAGATTCCCACCAGTGACTAGCTGCTCCAACAAACATAAATTCTACGCATAGTACTTTCTGTGCATCGTACAGGCGATGTCTCGAAAGATGCAAATCCACTCCTCAACAGCCAGTGGGGTGGAACCACCATTGAAAGTCAGAGGCTTATACCTACGAAACTGCTCAACCACTGAAACGGCTCCCAGGACAAATGGAGGTGCACTTTGTTATGGCGATGCATTTTGTGGCGACGATGCTTAGCTCTATCTGCTCAGTTCTTGTATCGCTCGTAGTAAATTGCGCATCAAGTTCACGTAAGTAGGTGGTGCCATTTTCTAAAATTTATTTTGAAGTTTTCGGTCACATTCCAGTACTAAGTCTAACAAGTTATACTTATTTTATTGTATGCACATCATAAATTTAACAAGAAAAATAACCTTAAAATTTTAAAGATATACAATTTAAAATTATGCAAAATGTCTAAGTACATTTATCTTCTTACCCCTTTACATACCTTAGGGTCGTCGGAGGGTGGTCGATTGGTGGTCATTGAGTGCCAAAGACCATTCATTTATTTAATAACTTTAAAATTATCATTATCGTTAAATTCATAAATTTACTGAAAAATATTAACCTTTAACAAATATTACGCAAGGAAACGAATAAACAAATAAACATTTTATTATACGTAACATTTAAAACGTGTAAAATCCAATGTTTTTATATATCATCAAAATTTATTATTATTATTATTATTATTATTATTATTATTATTATTATTATTATATTTATTTACATGGGGATTATATCGAAATCTTAGCTACTAGAAAAATATCATATACTAGTGCATGACTATTATAAAATTTCACCCATTTGAAAAAAATTTAGTAACTAAATAATTTAGTGATTATTGTGGCTAGATATAAAATTTATTCTAAGGAAAGTATTTTTAAAAAGTCTACAAATATAAATATATACACACATAAACTATTTAAACAATCACAATTTTTTTAAGACTGTTCACGTCCCAGAATTTTTTTTTTTAATTATGAGAATATACATGGGTCTACAGGAAATTAAACCTATGCTCTGATACCAAACTGTAGTGACCCAAAAATTTTAAATTTGAATCGCTACCGAAAAAGTATTTATAGAAATGTCAATTATATTTTAAACAACTTATGGCTCATAAATTTAAATTTCTAACTAGCACATCCTTAGAAGTCAAATAAAGTAGGATTTTCGGCAACTAAATTTGTAAATTTTATACCGTTAGAATATTTTCTCTTGAAATAATCAACTACTTAAATGTTATGAAAATCTCTATAGATAAAATAGAAATAGTATGCACAAAATATTAACTAACCATATTTTTATTTGTTACTCAATTTAAAATAATGATAATAAGGCATATTTTATTTATTCCTTTTCAGTGAGTAGAAATATGGCATCAACTTCACAAATTTAATATTATTATTGTGGTTTCATTAATTAGACATGCATGTAAATGCTATTCAACCACCAATGTGTAAATCTCCAATTTTGCGTGTTGGGCACCCAAGACAAACAAATGGAAAGTGATGTGACGATTGTTTTGACCATGTGTCATAATTCTGGGAAAATTTCAAATACTGCTAGCTAATAATACTATAGAAAAGTACAAAAATCCTTGACATGAATATGAGAATAAAATCATAATCAACTACTTTTAAATAGGAAAATCGATAAAAGGAATAACATTTAATTCAAATTTTATTTAAAATGTAGCCCGCATATATTCCTATGCAAATAAACACGCACGAGAATTTAATAATAAATAAATGTCTATTGCGATAAACTTAAAATAAATAAAACTATGTGCTAAAATTTTAGATTTTTGTCTAGCAAAACGAGGCACAACCACATCATTGAACCACCATACTCCAACACGATTCGATCTAACCTGTGAGTGTAGGAAAAAATGTGAGTACGTGGGAATGCTTAGTAGAATATAAAATTTTAATGGTGCGATCCAGAATAATAATTTCAAACACGTGTCAAAATATAATACCGTCTCATACCTTTAAATCTTATGAGAGCTCATATCATATCATATCACTTCATTGTACCGGAATGATCATATTATTCACATCATATCATAATTTTAACTTTTATGAGTACAAAAATTCATCATCATGTAAAAAAATAATTAAACGGGACATAAAAAAAAAAACATTGCACCTCGCATCCTACCTTGTTAACTTGCTTTAATTTTGGAAGACAAAACAAAAGAATTCACGTTCCAATAATCCTTTTCTCTACCCCTGCTTACGTGTTGTGCATGTTTGTGTGTGTGTGTGTGTCTATATATATATATATATATATTGTCATTCCTATATATATATATATATATATATATATATATATTGTCATTCCTGTCATGTGAAATAGATTTTATATACATAGGAAATTTGTGTATTGTGAGGAAACGTGTGAGAGTGAAATGATGTTATGGATGAGTATCTGGAACTGAAATTTTGACTAAATCTTGTCATTCAAAAATCAAAATTAGCACATTTCCCTACACGTGTGTCATTCCCATTTAATTCAAAGTTCTAGTTAAGAAAAAAAATGGATAAAGATAAAAACAAAGTTGGTTTTTAACCACTAGTCACATGGCTTCCCATAACTCTCTCTCTCTCTCTTTCTACACACACACACACACACACACACATCAACAACCTACCAAGAATCTTCCTCCATTCACGTGACTTGAGGAAAAATTTAAATTCATTAAATAATCAATTAAATATAATTTAAAGCTATATCTTTCAACCTCGATAACATGGAATCCGCTAATCCAAATTAACTTTTTCTCGAACCTAACATGCATGATTAATTACGATCTATCTAACGAGCCCAATATTCATATATTTATTATCGCTCCGTCAAAATCTACTTTTTATCCCAAATAAAATTGAAATTTACTTTACATATACTTTAGTTCCTAAACTTTCAAAACATTTAAAATACAACATACAAAAATTAAATTTCATTCTATCAAAATTTTCGGGACATTATAATTGATCCCATAGAAACATTTTACAAAGTTCTGTGACTCCATGAATTTTTTTTTTTTGGCAAAGTTTAGTGTTCACTTAGATAATTTTTAAAGTTCAGTGATCTGAAATTTTTATGCAAAATTCTGTAACGATTTAGGTTATTAACTCAAATTTACTTGTTGATTTATGAATTGTGAATATGTTACGTGCTTAGATTAATAGATGCTTCTTCATGTAAAACTTAATACTATTTGTGCACATTAATTAAGTTTGACATTGTGAAGTAATGAGTTGATTCATTTGCTTGATTGGTTGAAATAGTAGAAATTAGATACTAAAACCAAAAAATAAAAAATAAAAAATACAACTTTATCATCCTTAGACCAAATTTAGCATTGTTGGAGGGTGATTTAACTGTTGTAAAAATATAAGGATATTAAATGAAGATTTCATGTACTTAAATTCTTGTGTGCATTGTCTAAAATCAATGTGATGAACTTAGTTGAATGTCTTAAGATAGAGGTCCTTTTTTCTTGAATGAGTGATTAATGAGGGGCATTGCAATAATCATGATAGCCTCATTGTAAAACATCTCTTCATAGCCTTTATGTCTCGAGTAAGAAAGTCTACAAGGGCATCTAAAAACTTGGTGTTCTATAACCATTTGACTTGGGAGTTATCAATCGAAAGCTTGCTACAAGGGCTATTTAAAAAGCTTACTGAAGATGAATTCGCACATGAAAAAAAAGAGAAGGAAATATGAAAAAGCAAGTGCATGAAATAGAGGCTCTAACCAATGATTGCCAGTTCCTAAGCTCTGGACTAAAGATATACTGCATAACTTGGTTAAGCTTTGTGGTGAATGCAGTTAGGTTTGGGCAATTTGTGCCATATTTTCAACTTGAACTGAATTTTTTTTTCAAATTAAATCAAACCTTTTTATTTTTCAAACCAAACTAAGCCATTATTTAAGGTGTCTTTAGGTTTTAATCCCCGGTTTATCTATCGACATTATATTAATATAAGAAAGTTAACATATAAGTTTAAACGAAAACTAATACTATTAAATGTTAATTACATTTATATTTGTCGAAAATTCGAAAAACAAGCAAAAAGGCAAAAATGTAGTAGCAAGTTAGCATCTTGAAACATTCCAAAAGCTTTCTACACTCAAATTTTTACAGGCAACAATATAGAACAGCAACATCCTTTTAGGCTTCATAGATATTGTGTTCTAACCTCTCATTTGATAATAAATGCATCAATATCCCCTGTCTGAAGTTTGTAAATAAAGATATAACGGCAAACACGTTCTACCATAATTTTGAGATATATTTCTAATTACTCCATTAATATTTATAGTCAAAAAATTAAGTTCAACTCCAACGGAAGAATCTCCTACAAACTTTAATAATACGCCTATATTTTCATGTAAAAATGAACAAAAAG